GGCGGGACCGCAGGGAAACCAAGGCAGGGCCTGGGGACAACCCCCTGTGCATGGAGCCCTAACCGCGACACTCTGGGAGGCTTTTGCAGACTCAGGGGTCCTCAGCGGGACCACTCAAAGCATCCCCAGCGCGTCCCACTGCCGCGACAGACTCAGCCAGCTCCACCGCCAAGCGGGCTACAGCCCAGGCACCCATGGCACCGTGGGCCAGCCGGGAAGGAGACCTTCCACGAGGGAGGCACACACGGCCCGTGCACCCACGGGTGCCCCGTGCTGCTGCTGCAGCCTTGCCGGAGGCCAAGGAAACCTTCACTGCTTCCTCCCTTCCCACTGCCTCCAAACAGCCAAGGAACGAGAGGACCTCACCAAGCAGCGAGGAACCCGGGCTGGTTCCTGCCTGGACTATGTCCGCACACGGAAAGTGCTGGGGATTAGCTGGTGAGTTAGCACAAAGATAAAGGCACAGTTCAAAAACAAGGCCCATTTCTGCTTTCCCACTGGGAAAGACCCAGTTTTAAGGCACACATAGGATGGCGCAGCGCTGGAAAACCCTGCTGTCCCTGCAGGCTCCCGGTTGGCAGCATTTGACCGCATTAGAGGAGCGGGTCTGGGGACGTGCCGGGGCCCATTTGTGCTCTCACCTCATGACGAAGTCGTGCGCGTCGATCTCTCGCCCGTAGCCGGAGCCCCGCAGGTTGCCCGAGTTGCCCACGACGGCGCAGCGCCGGCACCGGTGGGCGTCATGGGAGCTGTAGGGGTTCTCGCCAGGCACGATCTGGAAGAGCTTGCTCAGGACTTCGTGCGTGTTGTGGGACTTGAACTGGGGCTGCAGCATCTGCGGGGGCAGAAGGAGGCCAGCGGGATGTCAGCAGGTGCCAAGAGCCACCCTGGAGGTGCCACCACCGATGGAAATGTGCAGCCATGGCCCCAGATGTGAGTGTTTGTGAGCTCCCTGGCCCTGCGCTCGGTGCGGGCTTGCGGCGCCCTTCCTCTGCGCGGGTGCCCAGCTCTTCCTTGTGGCTGAGGCCGGGGCTGGCTCCGGCAGGGAAAGGCTGTGCTGGTGGCGCTGGCAGTGCCAGCCCAGTGCCCCCAGCAGGAGGCCACCAGGGCGCTGCCAGCAGAGAGGGAAGCAAGCAGCCGTGCAAGCCGGGCGCCCAAAGAAGCCGCAAGTGTAATTAAAAATACATGTGTATTAAAAAAGAAAGAAAAAAAAAAGGGCGATGTGTCGGGCATCCCTCACATGACAAACAAAGCTATTTGGAGCCTGCACAGCAGCCGCCACGGCGCTGCCGAGGGGAAGGAGGGGTTTCCAAACGGGGAGGGAGCCAGGGCTGCCGGGACGTGGCGGTCCCGGCGCCAGGGGGTGGGAGCGGAGAGGGGACGGTGCCCCCAGCCCCGCTCGCCCTGCAGCTCCCTCCCAAAGGCTCCCCACGGTGGCACCGCGTCCTCAGCTGCGCTCCTGTCCCTCTGGGCTGCCCTTGGAGGCCAGGAGGTTCTTTGGTCCGAGCTGGAGCTGCTGCTCTTGGCACTTAGGGGGTTTTGGGTGCTACAAGCTGTGGCTGAAGCAGAGCAGGAGCATGGGGACGAGGCGACCGGTGGGGACACAGCCGAGCCCCCA